AGCAGGTTAAATAATTATTTATTTGAAATCTCAGCTGTGAGAGTTATCCAGTGTTCTGAGCATGAACATGACATTCATCCTCGACCTCATTTGTCGCCACAGTTTGTCGACCTGTAGTCGGTAAGAACCTGCTTGCTCGTTGAGGTTATTGGCGGTTTTGATCATGGATGGGACCTTACTTGAGAGCGAGTGCAATTACTCGTCTACATGTTAAGCCAGTGCAAAATGCAAGTTGGATATCGTGAAGAACCAAACCACAAATCACGCCATGCTGTGCCCATGAAAGTCCTGAATGTTTCGCAATCTCTTTCAGTAACTTAGACATTGCTTTCATTGTTGGCCAAATTTAATTGTGGTTTTCGAGTTGAACATCTCTAACCCTTATATATATATGCAATTGCTAAGCAAAACTATTGCAACCAAGTACATTAATGCCATAAATATTGCACGTCCAAGTGAATAAACGTTTCGCTCCTGTTTGGGATTTGAGAAACCGTTCAGGAAAAATGACCTTATTTCTGCATTCCACACGCGAACCCCTATAACATGCAGCCAAGCGTTTTAAGAAGTGCTCCACGACCTGAGCGACCTCCCTGCTAAGGCACACTGATAGAATGGACGGAGACTGCTGATTTCTCGTTGACAGACTTTTTTTACCCTATCCCAACCATGAGGAGGATCAACGACTGAGAAAGGGGCAGTTCCGCTCTCAAGGAGATTACACGATGAGGTTCCTAGAGATCTTAGCAGTTACGATTGCTCTCTTTATTACTGGTTGAACTATTTCTTTAGCTCTCTTATCTATAGGCATAATTAAGCATATCTAAGTTAACGCAGAATTTGGCTCAAAGGCGGGCAGTTAGGGGAAATAGTACTTCACCTCCCTGCGCGATTGTGTTGTGAAGGATGGGAAGGCAACAAAATCATAGAAATACGACGAGTGTTCTTTTTCTATTCCTCGATTTTTGCAGGTCACTCAGCCCTCTTCACGTACGTCTCAGGCTCAGACAGCCACCGAAGGTCATGAGCCGTCGACATCTTCGCTCACAACAACATCCTTACCACGAGCTCCTGAAACGACAGATCCTGTAGTGGCATCACCTCCAGCTACCGATGAGACAGTTCAGCACTGCGAAACAAGGGCGATTCGGCAAATGCGTGTGACGACAGAAAGGAAGTGGGTTGCAGTGGTTTTCAATAGTGAGTCTTTGCTTAATGTATTTCGAAATAACTGAAATGTTTCAGTGAGCTGACGATATGGCTACAACTGGAGGACATGATGAATCGACAGCTCACCACAGAATTCTCGCACGATGAGGATCCGAATATGCTCACACAGGATCTGGTTACGCACGGATTTATCTGCGAGGTTTGTCCTATACGTGTCTCGCGCGTTCTGCGCTTGAATGAAAAGGCCAATACATCATAGTCGAAAAGCAGTGAAAATTCCGCAGTAAGTTATATTATGAGGTATCAGCGCTAGCCAAAAATCGCCTTGAAAGGCATCCTCCACAACGATCGTATGGCCATACGCAAATATAGCAGTACGCTTTTTTCAGTGGTTTACCTTGTGTATTGTACTTCGGGGAGATGGGTGGGGGAGAGGGAAGCCTGAGGAAAGCTCCTAAAACCAAGACTGCAGAGATTGACGAGTTCCTGAGACAATAAAAATTGCTTACGCATCCCGGAGTCCCTCTTCTCCTCTTAGGCTTACAAAGGGGTCTTTTAGGGCAAGCCATGCTTTTTCAAAACGGTTTCTGCATATTGTAGGGACGCATGTAGGGAACACAAAACCATGTTTCATTTTCGCTGAACGGTTTTAGCAGTACCAAAAAAGCAAAGGTACTGTTAATGGTTCGATCCCCGTGGCGACTAAATTTTGCATTTGGGTTGGCGCCTACGGTTGGTGCCAAATCGCGCTAAATGTCAAAATCAGATGTCATAATTCATGGTCAGGACCATATTTGAAGCCGAATACTCAAATACAGACATTGTGCTAGTGTCTCTCAGCGGGCAGGGCGCTGTACCAAGCGAAGACTAACAACGGTGCCGCGCGTCTTGAACGTGCCTTGACTCAGGCCTTATCACTTGGCCAATTATTTCATATCGGGCTCAATCACACATGACCCGATGTCCGAGTCCATTCATTGTAGGAAGGTTGTAGATTAGGTAAATTCGCTGTTGCCCTGTCTCTTCTAGTGGTACGTGGATAAAACGCTCGTAGTCTGGAAGAGTATGAACATGAGTTTTTGTGCATCCACTGCTTATATTTCCCTCACTATCTACACAGGAAAGCTGCTCGAAAAGCGCGGCTTGCCCTGAAAACCCCTCCTTGTTAGTAGTGAATTGAGCGTTTCCATTGCCATGACGTAATGTTACGTTATGGCATCCTACGAGCCACATTGCTGTTGTGAACATCTCCTCTCATAATGTCATATAAAGTAGGATTTGTAATGAAAAGGGTGTACAGCTCAAACTGAAATGAATAGTTGAGTCTCTTCAGGATTACAGCACTTTATCAGGCTTACGTTTCGAGCTTTTAGGTTTCGTGACGTGAAAACTTTAGAAGCTTCGAGACTATTGCTTTAGAGGGATAAGCCAGGGCAAACAAACAAAAACAAATTCCCAATGTCAAAATCTTGATTTCAGTCCTAAAACTGATCCGTCCTTAAGATCGGCGTGGGATGTACATTTCTGCTATACATCTTTTATCTACTCCAATATTGGAGGTTTAGAAGATGAGTAGAAATGGATCTAATCGTTTCATGTAGCAGGGGAGTAGCCCAGGAGTACTATACGCCGCACGCGGCATCATTACAGCGGTCTGATCGCGCTGGGCAAAAAACTTGACCAAACTCCACCCGAAAAGTTTATATCAGTTGTCGCGCATTGTTGTCTTCTTTAGCACAGAAATCTCAATCTAGTTTCAAATAAAACTCAAATCGGATGCGTATTAATCTAGCTCAACCTAAGTGCGAGGGAAATCAATTGCAGCACATTTCTGTATACCTTTAACGTGAAAAAAGTGACAGTCAGCTTTTCCCAGTATTGCTGTAAGAATGACATCGCTCAAAAGATGGTAATGCTCATTGGTGGCACACTTTTTTTTCATTTCGAAGGAATCTCAAGAATGGCGGCGGCTTTTTCAGAAATATATTTTTGAACAATGCTCAGGCTTTGAACTAATGATGACAAAGCTTGCCCCTCACAAAAACTTGCTGAGAGCCAAATCAGGGGACGAGACACCCACTAACTGATGTTGTGTTCTAACCAGGAAAGAGTGGTGGGTTAAAGTGGCCGCATCCAAAGAGGCCTTCAATGTTAAATGTATTTTTGAGTGCTGATCTCGAATTTGCTTTGCAAATCTGCCATTCGATTTTCTTAACGGAGTTATGAAGCGAAATAGAGCAGCGGTAGTGCCCGCTCACACGCTAAAGGTCGTAGGATCGTTTCTCTGACGAGTTCTCACTTTGCCTCCGTAGCGATATGGTTGAAAAAGCTCCCAACTATGTCATTGTCAACGCTTTTCAGTTACCCACACAGAGAGTTTGCGATAAGTACCTAACGCTACCTGTTTGGGAGCTACCTGCTAAGAACTCTTAACAGACGTCTTTGCTGCAAACAGGTGTAATATACGTGTTTCGGAGATAAAAATACCCTAGAGGCAAGCTTAGAGCTAAATCTGAGATTTTGACCAAGCTGCTAAATATTATTTATCCATCAATCCCACATCAAAGTTTAGTTTTGGGACGAACTAAGCTTTGGTCATGTTTCTGAAAGGAGTAAAGCGGTGTCTGAGTTTTCTATTGGGTTGGAGCATAATATCGTAGCGCTCGCATCGGCAAAAACGTTTAAAGCAAAACCCAAAAGCAAAGCCAAGCATAAAACTAATCAGTGATGTTCTTCTCGTCATTATATTACGACTTTGATTCCATTTCGCAAGAAATTACCGGATTCAGAATTTAAAAAAGGGTACTGAGCCCGTTTTCAGAGTCCTCATTATTCTCAATTTGTACGACGTGAATATGATTTGAAATTGAGGACTGGAGTAAGGTTCGATGATGACGATGGATTCCGAAAAACTCCTATTTTGGCAGCTTTTTTCTTTATATAGATTTTCGCCCACCTTGATTTTCCAACTTCTAAGCACATATCTGAGTACACTTACAATATAGAAGAAAATGACAAACAAGGTATTGTAGAGCGGAAGAAGTACTTTCAAATGATATATGTGATTTCCTGGGTAATACTTGTATTCACTGAATTTGTAGCTCGAAAAAAAAACGCTACGATATTATGCTCCAACCCAATATTTGCGTGATTTCAACATTCACATGGGATTGCTTTCAAATGCAAAGTCTCGTCGACATACTGGATAGTTAACCCTGGGGCTACCGGCTCGGGGCCAAACCTCCGCATCTCCGTTCAGTGAATTGATTGGCAGATTT